GTTTTGGGAAAAGGCTACCTTACAGGTGTCGGTATGCCGTAGTTTTCAGGGAAGTGTGTAAGATCTTGTGATGCAGGTATTCACTGATCTTCATCATAGACTTTCAATAGTCAGATTAAGAAAAAATAAGTTCTAGGTTCATGTTATGGTATGTTTACAGAACTGTAAAAGAGAGGCAAAAGAAAGCAAGCGACCTTTACTCAGATACAGATATTGCATTCAAGTAATTATCTCAATACCAAAGGGATCTGATTGCCAAACACTGAAATGAGGAAAAGCCAACGTTTTTGCTTGTTTATGTTAAGTACAGCAAATGCCTGTGCTCCACTCTCACGTATTACTTGTGTTGGCTTTTCATTTGTTTGTTGGTTTGGATTTTGTTTTTTTTCTTCCTCAGAATAATTTCGTAGAATCAGAGAATGGTTTGGGTTGGAAGGGACCTTAAAGATCATCTAGGTCCAACCCCCCTGCCATGGGCAGGGACACCTTCCGCTAGAACAGGATGCTCAAAGCCCCATCCAGCCTGGCCTTGAACACTTCCAGGGTTGAGCCATCCTCAGTTTTTGGAGTGTGTTTGGTTTTTTATCTGATCATAAGAGTTGGATAGAACATGGATGACTTCTGCATTCTCTTTCCTTTTTTATTGTTCAGTATAATTTCTTTCCTATTTTCCAATGAAAATTAACTTGGAATTTCAAAGTACTCACAGAATACTTGTTCTTTTAGGTTGCTATTTTATTGTGAGTCAAGGAATGATTTCTTACATTTCTTGTTATGTCTCTGTGTACTTGACAGGTATATGTTGAACTGTACATCTGCCAGCCTTTGCTTCTAGGTTGTGGTCATTGCTCCCTGTTAAAAGTTTACTTCAGTCTCGTGCTTTTCATTAGTGTTAAAACTTGTTAGTGCTGATATGGTATTTATAGATCTGTAGTTGTTTATCTGTTTTCCTGGTAATTACTTATATTGCTTTTAGGGCTTGATCTTATCATTTTAGCTTGCATAGAATTGTCTGCCCTGGTCATGTGAGTAGTACTAAAACCCTGGAAATACTGAGTTATATTATTGTTGCTTTAAACTTCCATTCTGTTCCTGTGGAGAGAGGTCTGGGCTAGTTTCACATAGAAAAACATTCACTTTTTTGGGTTTGTGTGTTGATGAAGAGGAGGAAGTGTCGTCTTTCTGCTTGTATGTAACTCTTGTGGCAGACCCAGAAGTCCAAGGCAAGACAAAGCAAACAATTCAAAGATTGGGGTTTTTTGTTCATTACTAGATGTACTGCTTCCTGTTCAAGTCTGATTTAATGGTGCAGCATAGGTTGCAAGTTTAATTAGTTTTCTAGTGCTGATTTAGATTAGTATTTCTAAGGCTAGATTATGAAGCCAAATACTCTTTCCATTGAAAAAGTGATGGGTGTTCAGAACAAGATTCCTTTCAAGATACAGTAGAACTGTCACAAAAGGTGATGGCTAGAGTTGAAAGAGAAGCAATTCACACCTTGACTTGAAAAGCAACACTCCTTTTGAGAGAAAAATGCTCACTACTGGTCTGTCACTTTATGATCTCTAAATACTAAATGAACAGCCTAGGAGCCTCCTCCTGGTTAATCCAGGGCTGTTAATTTGAGATAGTTAGATGGGCTGGCCTTGAAAAATTAGTATTTTGGTGTTTGGAAAAAATGACAGAAGGTGGAAATAAGTTACAGCAGTTGCAGTGAACTGTACAGGAGCTACAAAGTCCTGATTTCAGTCCTGGCTCTAAAACTAATTTGTGATCCTGACCTTGAGTGAGTCACTTGACTGCTGTATGAGTTTTCTTATTTGTAAAGGAGGAGGGTGTCTGTGAGAAGATAGCAAAACAGCTTTTGCAAAGCTTCAGAATAGTGGAGTAAGTGCTAGAATATGAAAATAGGAGTTTTCTCCCTTAACTGCCTTCTAAAAATGATCAAAGGATTTTACTACAGTGTGACAACTGAAATGTGAATGTAAAATGCTCATTAAATACTTCAAGTATTTGGATGGTACAGAGTAGTAAGTGAAGTCTTGCTTGATTTACATTGCACAAAATGAGCAAGAATCTGATTGATCTTATGATAAACCTTCTGCCAGCCTTTAATGAATCTTAGTAAATTCAAATAAGCTACAACTAAGATCATCTCTGTTTTACTTGCTCAGGATCCTAGGCTGTCTGTGAGAATTTGGCAGTCTGGTACTTGTGTTAAATTCTAGGATTTGGAAATGAAGCTACCTGCTTTTTGCTAACAATGTTCTAAAACATAATTTCAATTACTTATATGAAGCAAGCTAGAACCATGTGCAATTACTGGATAGTAACAAATCGTATGCAGCGTAATCATTCCCAATAACTGTTGCACAATTATATCCTATAACGCTAAAAGCTGTGCCAATTAGGTTGATCAAAATGTGATTTTGATGATAGGATTAATCTTCGCTCACTGTCGGAGAATGGTCCTAGCAGCATTTTTCAAAATGTTTGTTGTTTACAGTATCTGAAGCGGGGGGTGAAATTATGGAATCTTAGGAGTGGGGGAAGACTGCAAGGTAGGCTAATGAGCAGCTAGTATAAAACTGAAAGTGAAATTCAGGTGCAGTTGTTGAGTGTGTTGACAGTTGATGTCAGCAGTTCAGCATTTGCTACTTTAGCAGATGACTTAAACTGAAGCTCTGGAATAGAGCAGAAATCTTTTTGTTCTCTTTCATAAATAGTTGATATGAGAATGTTTTAATGAATGGAAATGTATTTGCCTAAATTCTGTTACTGTTCTTGTGCTGATTTAAGATGTATAATTGCTAAAGCACCCATGAATGTCAGTCTGGTTTAATCATAACTACATATGCTGTTAAGAATCTGTCTAATTAAAAAAAAAAAAATCTTTTTTCAATAGGTAGAACAGACTTGGAATCAGTCACTTAAGTAATTCTGCATTTTTATAGGGAGGCAAACAAGCAGCATGTAAGATGTCAAAAATGTTTAGAGTTTGGACATTGGACTTATGAATGTACAGGGAAGAGAAAATACCTGCATAGACCTTCGAGGACAGCTCAATTAGCGAAAATTCTTAAAGAAAAAGAAAAGCGACTATTACTGCAACAAAGGTAAGATTGGCAGAATGAAAATGTCTAGTTTATTAATGAAAAGGTAGTTTTGTATGTGGGTGGGAAAGATGGTGTCCTAGACCGTTTGCTGTCATCTTTTCTTCCAGACTCTGTGATGCTTGCTTAATATTAGAGCCGTTTTGTATGTTAGGTGGAATATGTACACTCAGGTCCCACAAAATTAAAATGTTGTTCATTAACACCTGCTCATCTGAAATACACTTAAAACTTTTTCGGCCTCTCTGAAATAAAAAAGTGCACTAAGCTAAAGTTAAAATAGTTGGAGCCCTTTTTGTAATGGAGTACTGTTTCCCGAATTACTTGGTTACTTGGTTTCATATGTTTATGTGCTAGTACAAGCAGGTTGGTGTGAAGACTGTGAATGTATTTGTAACAAAGAAGCAATTCTTTCACTTCTGTTTAGGTTTGCTGTTAGACTGTGCAGTTAAAACCTGGTCTTCTGGATATGACCTGACAGTGGATCTGTGCCAGCACAGCTCCTGTATATTGCTCATTATGAACTGTAACAGTTAAGCAGGTGAATGAGAGTTGAGTTATCAGGTGTTTTTAACTCTCAAGTGTAAAGTAAAAACATCTCACTGAATTAGATAATTATTTCCCTTTTTGACATTTAAGAAAGTGAAAGGTACTTGCAGCTAAACAGAAAAATCTAAGCAAAATTCTGCATTTGTGTAATGTGATTTCCTTTCCACTTTGCTCTGTGAGCAGACTTTAATGCTTCCCCAAAGTTTAATAATTGTTTTAACAAGCAACTCCAGATGACAAAGAGAAAAATAATGTAGCACATTAGTTTTCCGTGAAATTTCTATATATGAGGGTCTCCATTCTGCCATTGCAACTCAAATTTAGTTATGGTAGCTGAAGAGTTGTTGCCTCAGCCCTGCTGAGGGACAGTATCATTTATAGCCATTGCAGCTAAAATTGTTGAGAATTTGGAAACATACCCTCTGTCACTGCCACTTGCAGCTCAGTATGTTGGTTGTAGGTCATTACTGCTGCCAGGATGTGAGTTATGGAAGAGTGTTCACACCTTTTGCTCTGTTATCTTAATGGGGGAAGAAAATGGGTGGTGACCTCTGGCAGAGAGGTCTGGTTTGACTTCAGTCAGCTGTTTCAACTGAGGCAGCAATATGAATCAGAGTGCTGAAATACTGACTTAAGTGGAAGCCCATTAGCTTGTGTTAAGAGTGACATAAAATGTTTGATTATGCAATTGATTTTGATCCAATGAATAATTCTGAAGCAATTGTAATCCCTTAGTATTGTAGATAAGAAATAAGGAGTGCTTAGGCTCTAAAACATCCTCCATTTGGAGACAGAGTTTGGAAAAGTTCTTCAGAGACTCAAGATTTTTAAGACAAAGGTTGAGTTTAAGACTCAGATTATTTCCTTGTTCCTTTTCTGCCCTATTTCCATTGAATTCTGCAGGTTAGCGTTGGAGGATAGTGAATTGAGGGTGAAATTGCTTGTTGCCTGGCCATTGTGCTTGAGTCTGTGTATGGGATAATTTTTATATAGGACTTACAGGACTGTCCAGTGTCTGTCATGAATGGAGTTTTTTGAGCTGTAATTCTAACAGTCCACAGTGTGAGGGGTATGTGGTGTGAAAAGTCATCTTGTAAACGGAAGACTAAGTAATCCTTACATGGGAACAGTTTTTAATCCTGGTTAAATTGGGCTGGATTCATAGTGGTTATATAATCATAAGCTCTCTGAAGCTCCTTAACGGTGCCAGGAGGTATCCAGTTCCTTAGATGCCAATGTTACACTTTCAAGGGTGAAGCTTATTCTTCATGGAAAGAACAACTTCCTAGGTCACACTTCCACTTTTTGTATAGCTTGCTTTGGTTATTTCTTGTCTGCGGAGAAGTTGGGTCTCCTACAGGTCTGCTTCAGAGTATTTGTATCATCATCTTTAAAGATCTAATAATGAATCATTAAGCAGAAGGCAAACATAGTCTAATAAAGTTAATATTTACTTTTTGACAACCACATACAAGATTTTTCAGCATTAACTCATTTCAGCAGTTGTTCCAGGATCCTTCTATTTGTCCAGTGTTGATCCCACGATTCTGATGGACATTACGGAGGTTTCGCTTACTGGCATCAGTAAAGTCCACTGCTTGCCTGTCCTAGAGTAGGAGTTGGGAGGGGAGGAAAGGTGAGAAAATGCTTATTCCTTAGTGATATTACTGCATTGAACCAAAACCGGGATGCCTGAGTCTTATTTATGGTTCTGAAGACGGTGTGGTGCCACAGGGGAAACGACCAAGTGTCATGAAGTAGATCTGTTTGATCTGCAGGGGATTGACCCCTCTCAGTTGTGTAGTTCTATAGAGTAGTGAACTCCTATACTTATCCATATGTTAAACGCTAGAGGGAGGCATAGACCTGTGCCACAGCAACTTGGGTTACTCACATGCTGAATTAGGTCCCGTCTTCTAAAAGGAGATCTGCTTTGGGATCTAATTCTGTTTACTCACAGTGACTTCTCTTACCTGTGAAACACCTGGTTACCTATGGTAAGGGTATAAGGCTGTAATAATATAAATATTAACAGCATTCAGCAATACAGGAGGGATTATAATTTGGTTCGAAATTTGAAGATCAATGAATCTTCCTCTTGCCCACAGGAGATTGTGGGCAGTATGGAAAACTGTTGTGTGTAATTATAATATTTTTATACCATTTTGCTGGCATACAAATGGCATTGAGTACTCTTACTGAAATACAGTATAATTTACACTTAACGCTTTCTTCTTTTTACCCTTTTCTGGAGCCTTTATCAACACATACTGCTGTCTAATTTCTAAATGAAATATATTTGCAGTTTTTACTTTTATTTCTGTGTATTTAAGATGGCTTCCAATAGTATGTTTCAGTTGAGGAAAAAGTATCCTGGTTCATGAAAGAACGTACAACTTCCTCATATATCAGTGACACATTAAACATGTTGTAAGTTATGCTGATGGACTACTTTAATCCCATGTACAATTCAGGTTGAGTTATGTGCTTTATATCTGCAGTGGATTGAGAAGAGCATGTGACTAGTACATTTGACTGAAAGAATTTTATGTTCTTTAAAAAAAAAAAAATCCAGAAGTGAAGACTGGTTTTTAAAAAAAAAAAAAAAATCACTTAGTGTTTTGTTAAAAGAAACTTTCTTCTGTGTCATTTACAACTAAAACTTTCTGTGAGTGTATGAATACATGGGAATCCGAAAGACAAATAGCTGGAAAGTATCAATATAAACAGATTGCTCTGTGTCTTTGTACTTGAAAGAAATACATGATGAAAGCTACAGACTAATTCAGTATTTTACGCTTTGTTTCAATCAATTCGGTTATTGCTAAATATAGGTGCACAGAACTTTTTTTTGTATCCTTATCTCCACTGCTTTTCCCATCCCAAAATGTTGTTGTCCATATAATATGAAGAAAAGAGTAAAGAGTAAAGAATACTTAAGATAGAAAATTAGAGGTGAATTGCTGCTTTTTTTTTCTTGATTTGTAGGTATGGTTGTTTTTCTGGTTTGAATAGTGACTGGAAATAGATGCCAAATGAACTTTGGGCGCTGCAGCTTTCTGCCAGTGGGATACCAGTTTTCTAATATTAAACTCAGCTACACTGTGCTGCTATTTATTTAATTTTCCTACTGCATTAATCAAAGCCATTGTTTTTCCCCCCCTTAATTAGCACTGGAGAAAGTACTGCAGAAAGGAAGACCAAGAAAAAAAGGTACGTGGTGAACGATGACAAATTGTGCCACTGTTTCAGTGCGTGATCTTGCACTGGCTATTGCAGCAGGCAATTTGGAAGGGGTGTGTGGGGAAAGTCAATATTGCAAATACAGTTTTGATTTTACTGCTTTTAGCCTGTTACAGACATTTGTATGACAGACATTTGAAGAATTTCTACTCTTCCTGTCCAAAAACTCTGAATTCTTTGTCCTCTGCTTTTCTCCCTACTGATTGTTCTACCTCTACATGATCTTGCTTTAATAATAAAAATCTTCCTATTTTCTGCCTCAAAGTTCATCAAATGTATTTTAAACAATTGTGCAAGAATGGCATACTGTTTTCTAGTCTGTAATCGCTCCACCTACTCATCTTGCTCGTCCTTTTGTTGTTTTCATTCCCTTCTCATAGCAGCTGTCTTTCTCTGAAGCTTTGTCTACAGAACGAAATAAAGCATCTGAAAAAACCCCAACCCTAAAACCAAACAAAAAACCCCCAATCCCAGACCAAAACAAAATCCAGGAACTAAACCTCCTGCCCCAAGTACTAATTTGAGCCAAGAACTCTTTCTCTTTTGACATTTCTTATACTTCACTTTGCAGTATCGTTTGCTTGGGAATCCGCAATCCGCTTCTGTCTTTATTAGCAAAACCCTTTCAGGAGCAGCTAGAACCCTGGCTGTAATACTCCTGCTAATCATGTTATGAGTTTTACTTACGGGGGATGTCTGTACAGTAATAGCCTCATTGCATTTAGTTGACTGTCCTCTGTCTCTAAATCTGATCTTCTAAAAACAGTTTTCAGAAGACTTCTAAAAACTACGCCTTTTGTTTTGAGTGGCATTAAATAACCCAGAGCAGTTTTTTAAAACACACCTTTATTTTAGGCTATCGTGTGGAATGTGGCTTTATTGGAATACTTCTTGGTGAGTGTCCTAGTTCTACTGTCAGAATATGTTTTATCAAAGGCTCCTTTTTCAGTAGTGTCCATTTATTGTTGGAGTTACTTAGGACTAGTGAGATCATAAATTAACTGATTTCTAAACAACGTAGTTCAGACCTCTTCCTGCCTCAGCTTTCTCATATGCTGCAGTCTTCTACTTGGCATAATGATTTTCAGAGTATTTGAGCTCTAAACCAATGCAAAAATGAAAAGAGCAAAAGGATTTATGGGGGAGGGGTGGTTTGGTCACTTTTTCCCTAAAATTTTAAAATTCTTCTAGGTTTGAATTGTTATCCTGTTTTTATGCAAGCACTGAATCCATGAAAATAAATTCCTTTCCAGATCGTTTGCTATTTATATTTCTATTATGATACAGGAAGAATTAAATGCGGAAAATTCAGCAAGTGTTACCATTGAATATATAAGTTCCAGATTTTAAAAAAAAAAAAAAAAAGCAAAAGTTAGGGTTCTGGCAGTAGTGAGCACTAACCTTTTACATAGTGTATGTTTGTTTTGATATAAACAGTAATAAGTAAGCTACAGGCTTAACCAGAAAAACAGGAACAGGCAAAACAGCTGTTGTACAATCTTGTGACCTCAGGTGACACAGAGCTGTCTTCTGGGCGCATGTTGGCTTCAACATTCCCATACGGCGTACTTTGGTTATTAATTGAAAGCCCACTTCATGCTTGGATCACATATAAATCTAGCTGTCTGAAGGGTAAAATCATCTCTTAATTCACTTGTTTCTTCAGGCACCCAGCTGTGATTGTGCCCAAAATTGTAGACTTGATTTGAGTAGCAAGTTTAAAACCACCTGGGGTTGTTAGATAATTGCAATAGAATTAGAAAGGACAAAAAGCCTCAGAGAGGGGTGATAGCATGTGTTACAAAATGCAGCAGTTGTTCCACGATTGGTGCATGGAATCATACAAGATATTAACATTTGTGAACTTGTTTGGAGGAGGATGAATGCTTTTCTGGTGGAGAAATTTTGCACTTTTACAGTGGTGTAGTGACCCAAAGATCTTAGATTTACAAATCTCTAGCATCTGGGTTGTCATATGACCTAATTAGGACAAGGTGAAGTAGGTGAATTTTACTTGCTCCCATCTCTATCCTCCTTCTGTTAACTACCAACAGGCCATGTATTGCATCACCTGAACAAGTATCTGCTTGTTTTTTCTCTCATAGATCTAGCTATTGCTTTCCTCTAGGAGAAGCAGTATTAAGTGTTATATTCTGATGTTTCTGTGGGTGGGTTTCAGATTATAACCTAAATAGTGGAAGTCCATGGTCTGCTTCTATGGATTCTGTGAAAGGTGACCAGGAAAAGAAAGTTCAAAGTTAGCATTCAGGGGATCCTCTGACTGATTCTTGATCATATAAATGGGTCTGCACATCTAATAAAACTGTTCAGATTTAAACTACTAGTCCCTTTTTTTTTGTTTTCCTCATTCTTAAGACTAGTTTTTCACCAACAAGAAGTCTGTATTTAACCAGCCCTTATGGATTTATCTTTAAAAAATAGCCATTGTGTCTGCACACACAGAGATAACAGATTACAGATGTATTATAAAAACTTTGGTGGTTCATAGCTTAATACATGCACCTGACATGTCAGCTGACATGACCATGGCTGGTATGATGAAAAAGCATTACTCTTTCTTTAATAGCCTTAACATAGGCATTTCCTGAGCTGTATTTAACCAAACCCTCTGATAAAAAGTACTACATTAATTTTCTAATGGAAAGAAGATTCTGCATTATTATATCTAGCATTTTTTTTGCATGCTGTTTGGTTGACTTGGCAGGAAGTGGGGTGAATTAGTACCTTTACACTTTGTTTGGAGAAAGATCTATGGGAGAATTTAATTGTACTTTCTTGGAATTCATATTGCCTTAATCAGAGACCTTGATCTTGAGAACAACAGCCTCAGTAAGGGCTAAAAATGAAGGGAAAAAAAAAATTTGCAGAGGATACAGAAGTCCACTTTGCTGTGTTCATAATTCTGTCTTTATCTTAGACTGTTTCCACCCCTTCTCCTCTGCCCTGAAAACATGAGCATCCTGTAGTGGCAGGTAATTTGGGTTCTTTTGCCAGGAGTAATCTAAGAACAGTTTCCGTTGAGTACAATTCTAACATTTGTGAAATCACTGATGAAACCTCCACCAACTTTTACACTGCCTACTACAATCTAGAATTTCACTCCTTATTACAGTGGTGTGCTAGGGAACTGATCTTTGTTAATTTTTCCCCGAGGCTTTAGTAGTGTAGGACATTCATACTTCTCCTGCAGCCTCGTTCTTCTGTTTAGCCAAGTCAGTAAAAACACTCATCATTACTATGAATAAGATCCTTGCCAGCTTTCAAACTTAACCTTTTTCTGTAGTCCTGTTTTGGCTTACTTCATGTACATGGTGTCACTCTGCCATTGCTCAAATGGCCAAAATGCATTCGTTCAGAAC